GGGGGGGGGGTAATCCATGGCGGTCTGTCGCCTGAACGCATTACTTCGGACCGTACAGGTTCATGCCGCCTGGCGAAAGGTGCTGTGTGAAAAATGGAGAGAGGGGATCACACGGTGCCGCCAACAGGGTTCTGTTGACAGTGCGCGTCCACATTGTGCCGCGGTCAGGGCGTGGCACTGCGTGGCGTGGCCGGGCGTGGCCGGGCGTGGCCGGGCGTGGCCGGGCGCTCACTGCGTGCCAGCAGCGCGTGCCAACTCAAACTCCAAGTGCGGCTAGGTTGGGGTCTAGGTCACCGCAGCGCCCGACGGGGCGGGGGGCAGCGGGGCCCGACGGCACACGGGCCTTTGATTGCGATACTTCGCGGGCACGTTTCATGTCGTCGGGTGCGCTCGTGGTGATGTGCCGACCCATCATAGGGGGTCAAATTATACCATTAATATATCATTACTCAAATCAAAAGCTCTCCGGTATGCTTCATTCGATGAATTGAAAGCATTTCGGTGTGCTTCTTTCATCAAATTGAAAGCAGTCTTGAGTGCTTCATTCATTGATACTTCGAATGAAAGTAAGTACAAATGATCCCTCATCTTCTTTTGATGGGCCAGAAAAAAAAATGTCGTCAGCGATGACTGAAAACGTTTCTGTGACTTTTGTATGGCTAAAAAAAATTACGCGCACCACACCAATTTATTCACGTTAGCAAAAATATCCTCGTAACATTGCCAACGTTTTTATAATCTCAATTTCATCATGGAAAATCCTCTACGTAAACCTTTACTAGGTGCGCCAGACCACGTCTCGCGTAACAGGCTTCGCGATATCTCCCGAAACACTGTTAAACTGCGACGCGCCTGGCATACATCTACCTAGGCCTGCGGCGCTACCTGAGTCGTGCAAAGGAAAGAGTCGTAAATAGGCCTTCGGCCCCAAAAGTCACAAATCCTTCTCCCCATGGTTTTATTTTGACGAGTTGACCCATCAGAGACCATGATATATCTGAGAAAAACAATGAAATGGTTTGGAGCCATTTCCGTGTGGAAAACTCACTCTGGAGCCTCAACGGTTGGAGATAGAGCAAAACGGACGAAATTTTCGTTCAAAGGGCTCTATTAAGATTAGTTATCTCGTGGGAAATTGTAGTAAAAATATTTTTTAAAAATGCCATTTGTGGGACCCGTGGTTTCTTGATTTTTTTAAAATTCAATTTTTGAGCTAGAATACTCTTCTTCGAACTCGATCTGTCTTTTTATGACACCAAACGACCCTGAAAATCGCAGGTCGCTAGCTCAATAATTCGTTCACGAGTTATCGTGATGACAGTCAGACACACACACTGACAGACGGATAGACAGACAGACGCGAAACTTTTTGATTATCACTGGAGTAATAGGCTTCGCCAATCGCTCAGCCAATGATAAATCTTCAAAGTTAACCAGAGAACTTTTTTTAAAATTTCTTTTAGATATACTGAATTTTCCAATGAATGTTAACACAATAGAAATTTAGGCATGCAATTTTCCCCTAGAAAATCTTAACCTATTATATGTCCATTTTGACCGATAGCATAAAACATGTGGAAATTGTATTTCTCTGAACGTGTTCTTTCCTCGTCCCCAGGGCCACGATGGGACGCTGCCGGTGCTTGAGGGCCGCCGCCGGGCTGCATTCATGATGACGTCGCCGGTGTGCTCGCCGGCCCCCGCGGGAGCAGCCATGGCGCCGGGCGGGAGCCAGGGCCGGGACCAGAGCCGGGACCAGGGCCGGGGCCAGGAGGCGCCGGCCCCGCGGAGGTCGGCCAGGTGGCGGGGGCTCGCGGTGGCCGCCCTGCTCCTGGCGTGTTGCTGCCTCCCGGCCGCCGAGGGCAGGACAGACAGTGTAAATAGTGCAACAACAAGTGCCTCGTCGTGCAGAGACTGCGACAGCAGCCCGCACCAGCTCACCAGTGCCATCTCCCTGGAGCTCGCGCCGGGAGAAAGTCCCTCTTCTAGTCAGAAAAGAAGAAGTGAGGGGCAAGAGGACGTCGTCGTGGGCCACGTCAGCCCGAACAGGTCTTCCCCACACAGCCACGTGGTCAACGTGCGGCTGGCCGGGCTGGCCAGGAGCCTGCGCAGCGCGGAGCAGCGTAAGTAGGCTGGTGTTTACAATGTGTCTCGTCGTGTCGTGTCCGTCACTAATGTTTCAACAACTTGACAACGAGCAAAGTGAAGGGTCTCAGCTTCATCGGGCGGGGTCCCTTCGAGCTGGTCTAAGTCTACGATCAAAATTGCTCGAATGCCTTATCACCGCTGCCGCTCATAAAATAAGATATAATCTCGACCTCCGAGACATTTCAACTTTCCGTAGCAGAATCGAAAAGGGGACTTATTATCGTGCCCACCCATGTAGCAGGAACAGCAATAACATATTCCTTTCAAGAGACGGAGCCAATCCGCCAACGAGGCGGTGATGGAAGCTGGATTTCCTCGCCCACGTCTTCCCGCGCGCTTTGTGAGAGAGGCAGACAGAATCACTCGCAGTTCGCCTTTGCATATGCTGCTTCCCTTTCACTTCAGAGCCTTCGTCGTGGGGCACAGTGGGTCGGCTTTGTATGTAGGCCGGGCAGATTTTATTCGTAAATCGATTATTGCCGTTCAGTCCAATCCGAAACGGTTCGGAATGTTTGTTTTCAAGTTCACAAGTTCACGTTCACTGACTCGCGATTGGATCATTCACATTTTGTCTATCCTTTCAGCCTGAGCCTCGCTCCGCGGCGATGGCTTTGACTCGGAAACTATTTGGTTAGAAGTGACAAGAACTGGCGGCCATTGACGCCCGTTCTCCTCCAACTGTGGTGGCGCCGGCCTGCTCTGCCGGTAAATGGCGTTCACGCTCGTGCGCCCTTGAGCCTAAGGCTCTTCCCCCCGAGTCAAGTATCTCCCAGCCGCTGTGTTTCCTTTCCCGATAATGGTCCGGCTCGGCCAATTTTCGGGGAGCAGGCTTAAGACCATGCGGGTGTGAGGTCAGACGTGAGAGGCTTCAGCTGTCACGGCCGCCCTTTTCACTCTCTCCCACACCCGTTCTAATTAAACAGACGCCGAGTAATTGAGAGCTGCACCGTTCTGGCGTTAAGAGCCCTCAGGCGAAAGGGAGACCGAGAAAAATTAAATCATGATAACTTGAGTGTGTTTTCGGCCGAGCTTAAACGCTAGCGCTCTTTTTGTCGTGCCGGGTGCCCCTTTTCTTTCATCCACGAGAGTGACGCCGTGCGAATTGTGCAGTCTTTGTTTTAAGCGAGCGCAGCAGCGCGCAGACTCTCAACCGGATCTCTCTGAGTGCACGGCCGAGTCGCGACTCAAAAATGGGGACAGACAGGCAACCAGTCTTTCTGCCTCTCCCGCTTCTCTTCACTTCTTCTCCCTGCTCGCCATTTCGGCTGGTGCTGCCGCGTGGCTCTGACGTAGGCGCCGAATAAAGCCACGTTTATGAAATCAAGTTGTATTGCTCTTGTTCTGATAAGGATGAAAGTCGAGGCTTGGGTGTTATTCCTACACAGGTAGTCGGTGCAGCGACAACGAGGCTGCGGTCAGCGAGGGCTGCGTTCGCCCGAGGACATTCTGTAAGCCAGGCGAATGAGGGGTGGGAGGGAAGGGGCGTGTGTGGTTTAAGACTCTCTTCAAAATCTTTCCACATCATTCATGGCTTGGTCTGACTACGGAATGATTTCAGGTTTCTAGATTGGTTTGCTCACAAATAAAGTGAGTTTGACTGGTCACCACAGACCACATACTACTACCACTGCATATTTTGGTATGAAAGGTCAAGGAATCAAACGGTATACATCAATGTTACGTATTCTACTTACTAGTTTTCATCTTTCACTATTACTAAAACGTTAATTTATCTGGGGTAGTACACATAATCTTTGTGATAGGGTTACGACCTTTAAGCGTGCTGTCCTAAATCTGTTTTACTTTACCATTTCATTTGCCGTTTCACATTTCTACTAATACATTTTATTAAGAAAATATTAGTTCGTTGTGGTTATGGTTGTCTTTAAAATCCCTTCGCGTAAACTTCCAGCTTCATCTCTGGAAGTGTTGTGGTGCTGCTTGAAAGTACCGTCAGCAGGGTTTCGAGCTCTGGCTGGTGCATGAGGCTGATAGCGGTCACCGTCTTCATGAACCTGTCTACTTTTGTACAAATGCTGATTATTCCACCCTTACAAGCAGCTTTCCCACTCAATGGCTTACTGACACAAATCCTTTCGATGGTCTTTGCAGCTAAACTGTTCGGGAAGAACTCCTTTCTGACAGGCTTCGGTCTGGGCTTCCTCGCCTTTGGACTCAAGAAATTACTGCTGCCCTTCTTCATTGGCGCGCAGATCGTCAAGTCCATCCTCATCGCCATGTTCTTGCCGTCCATTCTTGGATCGGTGGGCAAACTAGTCGGCAAGGGTGTTACAACCTTTGCATCCTCATCTGCTCAAAACGGCGGCTTCTCGGGCAGTTCGGGCGCCCTCGGGGGCGGTGGAGGAGGTGGTGACAACATGGAGGACTTTGATTTTAAGGTAAGCACAAATAGTAAAAAAAGGGCAGAAAACCAAGTCTGTTTCTTGTTCAACTAGCCTTGCCTGGGAGGGGCAAGGGAGATAGACTATACTAAGACTACTAACACAAGCGCTGTGTCGGGTACAAAGAGAAATCACACAACTATGCCCTGCCTGTATATTTTTTTTACATCGCCCCAGAACTTTTTTTCGACAAACAACACCCATCAATCATCGTGGACGAGCGAAGTGACCTGTGCAGACGTTCAGTCGCCTACTCGGTATTCATGACGGAATATGAAAGCACGACCCTTTCTGAGACGCGGGTCGCAAGTTGCGTAGAACACGCATTAGACGTGAGCGAAACGCCTGGAGTTAGCTCTCTCAAAAGAAAGCAAAAGAAGTGAATAAAATAAACTATGTGAGGAAAATAGGAAGGAAAATAAAGAGATAGGTGTCATGACGCACCAGCGCACTAATTTACTCGTTAAGCAGACTATCCAAAGGGGCACTTGTTGGCGTCAGACGTGGCGGTCAGTTTTCTTTGCACAGTACGCCAGCCTAATGCGTAATGGCCTGTTCTAGAGCTCATCTTCCGATTTTATACCGTAGAATACAATCCTTCTTGAGGAAGCGACAAGGAATGGGAAAAAAGGGGGATGGGGGGACTGCACCGGATGGTAATCCCAGTGAAAAATAGGAATGCGTGGCTTCAACGTCGAATTGACGTCGAAACATCGAAAAGATGTGGATTTGGGGTGCAAAATGACGTTTATTCGACAATCGACTGTTTCAATGTCGAATCGACATTGAATCGAAGTTGCAGAATACTAATTTCTCACTGGGAATATTGTTGTATAGCGTGTGCGCTTCACAAAAATATTGAAATGGTGATGATCGCGGTGGCAGGACGCCCTAGGACCGGGACTGGTGCTGCGCCAGCGCGAGCGCGAGCCAGAAGCACAGCGCGCCTCCCACAGCCTCCGGCCCCTCCTATACAAGTCGCAGAGGGAGAGACAGCGTTTCCGGCACGACGGGTAATTGTCTCCAAGTCGTATTGAGAAGTATTCAGACGTCGCGCGGCTGCCGGCGCCGCACTGCCGTCATCTACTACACTGCTACGTGCTGGCAGGACAACAAGAGGCACTTTTTGGCGCGGCAAACTTTGGGGCAGCACAGCAGGAATCAAGACCTGGTTCTGTGTAAATTGGCACCAGCTGGGGCCAAGTCGCAAGCCACTACCAATGCTACGCCCACAGCCGTCACTGTCAACGTTCGTTGTATTAATCTTTCATGTCATTAGCCATATTGGGATTGCCGAGAGGTTAATATTTGCACCGTTTGTTCCCCATTGATAGATCGTCGATTGGCTGTATTTAGGAGTGTGTAAAAGGAGGAGGGGGAGGGGGTGTATGTTTAAAATGTTTGGCAGAGGTCACTCGTTTCCCAGCCGTGTGCGACAGCAGCTGGCTCTCGAGCAGTAAAAGGGTGTCGGGATTCACTCGGGGAGGGGGAGGGGGGAGGGACATCTCTCCTCATCCAATTTAATTACGCTGGCCCTCCATTACCGTATTATTTTCAGTCCTGCGGCGTACGCGGTCGCGCAGACAGAGGCTCTCTCCTGGTCTCTTTCTGTCATTCTGCGTCACGCCCTGAGATGGGCGTACGCACTCTTATGCGTAGCGAGCGAGTTAAAATACATATCACTGCTGAAAATGCACTCTAAAGTTTTAGAGTGCAAAATGTCTGAGTGCAGTTACACACACAAATTTCGCGGTTTCGAGAGTGCGAATTTCTGAGTACTTGTGCACTCAGAACACCTCTGAGAGTGACTTAATCAGAGTGAGTGCAACTTCAAACAACATACTCTCACTCTCTACTATATGTGGTTAAGGCACGACAGGGGACAATGTTCTGGGGGTCAGAAACGAGGCGGAGCCGAATTTGTGGTCCGTTTCGTCGTATCTCAACTTTTGCAATTTCGTGAAAATAAATTGTGGTCCAAATGGTAAGGCAAGAGAATCCCAGTACTAATTTTGAACGTAGATTCCGAATATGAACTTAGTTTTCTCGTATTTCACTTAGTTGTATACGAACTCGAAACCAGTTTTTGCGACACCCTGGAGACGTCACTTAGGAGAGGGCACTCTCAATGTTCACACTCTAGCGGACTGACGATTTCAGAGTTCACCTGTGCACTCTAAAAATGTGAGAGTGTAAACCTGTGCACTCACAAAATGCTAGAGTGTCATTGTCAGAGTGCAAGAGTCACTCAGAAATTCTCTGAGTGGCACTCTTAACTCTCACCTACACTCACAATTGTACAGAACACTCAGAATATTGTGAGTGTCACTTAGAATTTTCAGAGTGTCACTCTCAAAATTCTGAGTGCATTTTCAGCAGTGATGTAGCCTCATTTCATTTCGGGGCAATAGAGGCTCTGCCATAATGGTCAAATTGGCTGTGGGAGCACAATGAGTTTTGTATTGATCGAACCCTTGACTAACCGAGCCACGTGCTTCTGTGGCTGGCTGAAGCGTGTCTCAATCTTCTGTCGGAGCCTTTTACTAATAACGTCTAGTCTAGTATCGGCTGAATTCCAGAGGAGAATATCTTTGCCATCGAGGGGATGTAACAAGCTTAGAAAACGTGCAGTAATGCGTTCCAGGTAAACCGAACCCTAGTCCGTGCCAGGGTAAGCGCCCTGCCTTCTTCCCCCCTGCCGTCTCATCTTCATTCTGGCATCCCGGTCTCGTTTCGGCAACCTTTTCGCCCGCACCAGCGGCAGCAAGCCACGCGGTCGCGGCGGGCAGACGGCCGCAGAACCGGAGTAATGTCTGTGGGGCCGCCACCCTGGACGCCCGTCGGGTGGGGCGACGTGCGGCCGGGCGGAGCGGCAACGGGACCGACCTGGTTATTTGCAGAGGCAGCTGTGTCACCGATCGCCCGTCCCCGCCTCACCCTTGGCGGACTGGTCCAGACCTTTCTCTTAATCAAGACCAGCTGTCTGTGCCGCGCCCAAACTTTGACTAAGCCTTGTGCCTCGTCGTGCCGTCCCACCCACCGCCCGAACAAATTAGCCGAATCTGCCCCGGAATGATCGTGGGAAACGTCCGCTTTGACTTCAGCTTGTTCGTCGCTCGTCGGAATACTGCGGCCTGGGCTGAAACAGCGTCAAAGTACGCACAGGAGTGAAGAAGCACAGATAGTCTGACTGAAGTAGAGCGTAATTGACTTTCCATTCGTTTGTATCGGACTTTGTCATTCAAACTACACTGATGATTTGACATAATGTAACGCACCTACAGGGTCATTATTGTTTGAGTTGCGCGAACTCATTTTTAACACCTGCGAATCATGCCATATGGTACGGAGCTTGACGCCTGGGTGACACTGGGTAGGCCACACTGCAGTACAAGTACGCACTGAATGTAAGATGTTGCCTACCTACAAGGCGCTATGAGCACTTTCACGGGCTGAACTAAGCCGTTTAGTAACGGCAAATGACGGACGTACCTTCTGCTTTCTGGGTAGTCCCTCGCGTTCCTTTATGAAGCTCACCCGAAGTTAACGCGTGGTCGACAGCTCAACACTGGCCTTCCACATGCGGAAAAACAAGTCTGACACATGTTGTGCTATATCTTTAATTTTATTTTAGAATATTATTCACATGGAGGGTTTAAAAGTTTTATTAACGAGGAGAACAGCAACCACCTCGTGAAATTCCCGACTACCGCACTAAGTTTCTTTAAAAAACTATGCGTTCATTTTTTTCTTCTCAATTTCTTTGCGAGAACTTCTTTGGTAAACTTACATTGATAAACGAAGTTCGTCATTTATGTCGCTTTCCTTCGCTTTTGAGGTGTTGCGGGAGCACCGAGCGACGACAGGTAGCCCTCATTACAGAGCCTCGTCACGTGGGCACTCAACTTCCACTTTCCTCAAAGGCTCACTTTCATAAAAAAAAAAAAATAAGGAAAAGAGAGCTTACTTTGAGAGATACGATCGTCTCCCCCGCTGATATTATATGCAAGAGGCGGCATTTACCTGCGCCACGCAGTGATAAGGAACATGACCTGAAAGCGGAGGAGCGGCTCTAAGGGTGACACGGCCCCTAAAGTCGGAGGCCGGAGCGGGGCGACAGCTCAAAACCACATCGCGAGCCCAAGTGAAGCAGGCTGACCTGACGCCGAGCAGAGTTCGATTGGGGCGCACCACACGTTGCGGTGGGACCAAACACAAGGAATTAGCGACCCGAGGAGGGGCCAGCGCGTGACGTTCCGGGGCTTTGGAAGCTGATTAGGGAGAATTTATCAGGTGATGGGGCGCAGATCGGGAGGAAAGACCAGACTAGAAACCTTACGATGCTATGCTACAAGATCGAGAAAGAAAAATGGGCAGTAATCTCGCAGCAATGTCGTAATAAGAGACGTCCAGCCAGTATGTTGCTACGTGACGGTCCCTTCGTTCGTGCTACATTTTTATGGCCGCTTCTCCCCCATGCGTCACCTTGTTCTTGGTGCAACTCGCTCTCTCTTTTGCTCTCTTTCTTTTTGCCATGTTTTTGGCTCATACTGTGTTTGTCCACCCCTCTCAGCAGACTGCTTACTGTAGTGGGGCTTTTTAGCCCTTTTGTTGGTAGTCTTAAATAGAAATTATTTCAATTTCAAATTTCAATTTCAGGATAACGGCGCGGCAGGCCAGTACCCGGACGCTGCATCGTCCGGCTCCGAGAACATGCCGTCGTACGCGACGCTGGCGGCGCCCCCCAGCGGCTTCAACGCCCTCCAGACGCTGCAGCGGCCGGGCTCCACTGACGACGGCCAGCCCCTGGGCACGCTGCCCGCCATGTTCCAGGCGGCGGCCAGCGCGGCCTCCAACGTCCTCGCCAACAGGTGAGCTCCTCCTCCATGGACCCGCCGGCATGAACAGGCCAACTCAATCGTGAACAGTCTGTGAACAGGTGTGCTCGCCCGTGCGGGCGACGGCGAACACGTCACGCGTTTCCTTGAATGGGGTAAGCTTAGCGGGCCCACCCCCGCGGACCACCCCCGGCTAGGGTTTTAAAAATACCGGTCTCTTTCAATCGTATGGTAAGTTACCGTAAGTTACGTAAGTTACGGGTATTTATAGGTAATATTGGTAATATTCACCGAAGTTGCCGTTTTTGGAATAATATGCGTTAAAAACTTAAAATACATGTAATAACCCGTAGTAAACGTGTCTATTCGGTAAATTAAGTGTGAAACAGTGTAACATACAAAAGGAAAAGTCATAAAAATTAATGCTTTGAGTGAAAGATCCACGAATAGAGATCATCCAAGCGTGTCCCGACATTTTTTAGACCATCCACGTAATTTTATTTTATCCTTAGTTTTAGGGCGTCCCTGGTGTGCCTTTGACATGTCTGGACCCAATCTGACGAAAACTCCAGATTTGGACTTATAACCCATATCTAAAAACAGACTGGGACAAATTTTGATTACATGGTGAAAATAGAAGGGTAGTTTTTAATCTGATTGTCAAGTCAAGAACCATTTAACCCTTTAACCCCACTCCCCTTTTTTAGTGAGGAAACCTACTCACTCTTTTCAAGTGAGGATTTTAAATTATGACTTAAACAGAGTGGGAAAAATAATCTCGTTCTGAGGACAGGAGAGCGGTAGTTTTTGTGCCACTGATCTCACGCTTATGAGCAAGATATCTGACCCGAGTATTTACACTTACAGTGCTTAATTATCCTCCTCAGGGCAAAAAAAAGTCGTTTTGGGCATTAAAACCAGAAAAATAACGAATATTTTGCAGGGAATGACCGAAAAATATGTTGTTCGCGCTTGGCTGATCCTCTTTTCTATTAGAAGGGACTTTGCGAATCTTACCGAAAAATACCAGCGTTTTGTGGCTTGGTAAGTTACCGTAACTTACGGGTATTTTACCGAATCTTACCGGTAATATTACAAGCCTTTAAATCCCTACCCCCGGCCCGCCCCCAGCCCGCCCCCGGGCGCGTGCGGCAGTGCGCCTCGGCCGGACCAATCAGACCCCCGCCCCCCTCTCGTATCTCCCTCCGTCCATCACGACGAATAACTCTTGCGTCTGCTGCGGCCCTTTCAGCTATTGTGGTGCCCCAAAAGGCCTCCATTGTCCGTCTCCCATCAGGGCTTTTGTTTATTATCGTACAGTCTGCCATTGAGGCGAGCCCGGCAGCGGCCGTGCCAGGAGCCCCCTTACCATAAACAACCCTGTGCCACTCCCGCACTCCCGGGCTGCGGTCATCATCAGGCAGTCTGTTTGCTCGTCCAGTTTAAAGCGACCGCTTCCTGCTGCCCTACGACGACGTCGGCGAGGGCGGAAGGCCCCCCCGGAAGGCCTCCGGAAGTAGGACCACCCAGCAGAGCCAGGGACCCCGCCCATTGCAACAATAAACACCGCAGCAGGGTCGCACGGGGCCTGACCCAGTCCGCCACCGGGGAAGCTCTCTATGGCCTGGTCCCGGGGTCGCAGTGCACCCACTGCGCGGGCGGGCGAGGGCCCGGGCGCCGTTTGCGGCGTGTACAAAACGCGTAAACAGGAAAAACGACAATTCATGAAGGGAAAACGGCAGCAGAGCCGCAAACAACCGCATAGGCCTTACTTGTGTTGGTAAGGGATCCCCCGCAATCTCCGCCGATTGCTGCCCTATCTGTGAATTCTGTCTCCCGCGGGAGGCGGTTTCATCTGGTGCTTAATGAGGCCCGGCCGGCCGGCAGCAGTAGGGCCAACCCCAGCCCACCCCGGGCAGGGCCGCCAACTCTGTCAACTCAAACACAGGCCTGCCAACACGCCGGCCGCACAATTAACGCCCGGCTCCTGTGAGCTGCGGAGCACCCTGTCCTGCAACGGGATCCGCGGCGCGGCGCCCTTTGCTACCCGGTGCTGCCGCGCCCTTACAGTACCGCACCTCCCTCGCCGGAGCGGCGCGACACAGTTTGAAATTATTTTTGTTTTGAGCTTGCACCGGCTCCTTGAAACTAAAGCTCTATCGGCTCCTCTGCAGGTACCAGCCCAAGACAAGCTACGCCCACAAGCACCAGTACACGTCGCCCTCGGTGCTGGACGGCGGTGGCTCCTTCTACAACCGTCACAAGCCGCACGACTACAAGACCTTCCAGAACATCCCGTCCAGCTCCATGCTGCTCACGCACTACGACCCCTTCTACTCGCCGCTCCTCTCGCGCCTGGACTCGGTGTTCCACCAGCTGGGCTACTCGTCCGAGGCGTGCCGCGAGCGCCTCGTCTGCGCCATGTACCGCAACCCGGCCAAGTTCGCCCCCTTCTCGAACCTCGTGTCGGCTCAGTTGTCCAGGTAAGCCCAGAGGCAGTCAATATCCAACAAATCCTAATCAACGCAGCAATTCGGTGAGGCTGAAATGCACAAGAATGCGGGGAACAAGAAAACAAAAGCACCAGCTTAAAGCACACAGATTTCCGTTTTTTTCCCTTTGCGCTGGAATGCTTTATTTCCACCGCTCCCTCTATTTCCCCATTAATTTTGGATGGGAGACAAGAATGCTTTGCTCGCAGGTGGTCGGGAATATAAGTGGAATAAATAACAATATCGTTTCAATTTTGTTTTCTACTGACGTGTCTGGTATTATCGTGACACGTGTGAGGATTTATCGGGGGGATGTTTTAATCCGGCCAATGGTGCGGGGCGGGTGCGCTCCTCTGACGATACAGACCGTCGGGCGCGGCCGGGGATGAACAGAATTCAAATTCAAACACGGCACCGCGCGCTGTACAGTCTGCGCAGGTCTGCACGGCCCGGCGGGTGTTCTGCACCGTGTCGCCCGTGGGCGTGGCGTCAGCGGGTACACAAAGTGCGCGGCTAGGAAGTGGGCGAGAAGTGTAGGCGTGCGGGGATGCACGGCGCAGGCCAAGGCCCGCCCGGGCCCGCCGCGGGCTGGGCTGACGCAACAGACGACCCTCTCGGCTCGGGCTGCGGCGCAGGGGGCGGCTCACCCCCCAGGGGCTAGGCGAAGCGACACCGCTGACCCTTTCCGCGCAATCTCCTTTTCGGGCAACTCAGGCTGATGCCCATAGCTCGCTCATCGGCCTGCGGCGCCCGACTGCGTGCCCCACAAGGATCGGATCCCCCCCCGGGCATCTACCCCCGCGCGCTGTAGAGGTGCAACAGGGAGGGGCACAGGCTCCAGCTTGAAGATTGCTCCGCCATGTCTGGCTGCTGGTACGACTGTCTCTTGCTGTCGTGTTTGTCGGAAAAGGCAAACTTTCTTGGGGTTGCGTCCGGGAGGTGTGTCGCCCAAGAAGCACCCCGAGCTCGACCAAACAAACAACCCCTGCTACCCCCCCCCCCTCCACAAGCCTCTCGCCCAATCAGCCGCCTACTCTGTCGCTAATACCACCCTCTGAATCCAACCCCTGTCCACCCCCACGCCCAGTACCACCACCCTGACCCAGTGAGCACGCCCGCCCCGGCACGCCCACACCCTACAGATATTGTTTGTACCCCTGCCACCCACTACCCCTAACCAGGCCGGTCGTATTGTATGGGTGACCCTCATACAAGTGTTACCCTCTTGCTCACTGATGGTGAGCCTGTGGAGCTGCAAAGGATAAACGACATCCTAGAAACGGTACAGTTAGCAGCATGTTCTGAAGAATATAACAGCTTTAGCAAAGCCAATGCTTGAAAAACTATCAAAGGTATTCGATTGCTTGGACCTCCTACATTTCACGTAAAACCTTATGATACAAATCAAATCCTTTGTAACACAAAGCTTCGAAATGCTCCGCTTTGCAAGCTTAGATTGCAAGGATTTAACAGTGGAGGGCTCTGAAAATCCCCATTTCTCCCTCTCTCCTCTCGGCCCCATGTCTAGGCAGCGCGACGAGCGAGATCCTATCTTGCATTAATAACAGGTGGGGACTGGGGCACCCTATCCCTGCGTACCAACCCTTTGACAAGGTCAAGGGATACGGAATGTGGTATACAGAGATATACAGCTCACCTGCACCCCGAGCCCCCCACCAGTTGACTATGGCAAAGTGACTGAAGCACATTGTGATCGGGATCGAGTTATGGGATTCGTTTCGATACTTTCCGAGCACCCCAATCCGCTCCCCACATTTTCCTCCCTCCTACCACTCACTCCGGCTCTCGACTTTTGTGAACGTAGGCTGTTGCATTGTCGTGCTTAAATAAAGGCAGTCCCCCAGAAGTCTTAACTACATGGTAAAAGCAACTGCTTGAAAATTCACAATTCACATAGTTTGCTTGGTTGCGGTGTTTTGGAAAGGAGCGGTCACACTATTCCATACCTATTAAGATTTTTTTTATTTTTTTGTGGCGTTGGGATCGAGTTATGGAGATAATCAATGCTTCGAAGTTGCAAAGCAACAAAGCAAAGACACGCGAAATCCAACGAAAACACGACTAAACGAGGCGTTTTATCTACTATCAATTTGGTAGCTACATTTTTAGCAGAGTAGTCGGCCCCAAAAAATTGTCTGCAAGTGGCGGGGCGCAAACGCGCAAGGGCAGAAGCCTGTGAGCGTTTGCAGGGCCGATGCTATCAGTGGCCGCCTTGATCCCTTCAGCCGGCGCCTTTCTGTTCCTCGTGTGGCCGAATATCAATCTCCTCCAAGGCGCCCTCTCCTTACCATCACAGCCTCCTCCCCCGAGAAGAGGACAGCTCCTAGAGAGGGCAAGCGACGCCCCCACCCACGCATGAGGGCCACTACGCAAATCCCCGCTGGAGAAAATATGTGTATCCCCCCAGGGGAGTGACCAGCCCGGGCTTAAATAGTCTCGGTGTGGGCAGTTTTTGGGAGGAGAATAGAATAAATGAGAGGATGAAAATGGAGCTGGGAGAGGGGGTAGGGGGGCAAGAAGGAGAGAGAAGGGCCGGATAGTGCGCGCGGTAGGAGACGCCTGAGACTATTTGTCAGCTCGGCTCACTGGAGGTAGCATTATCGCGGAGGAAGAAGACGGGAGGGGGGAGAAATGTATAAACGGAACGGAAAGAGAAAGGAGGGAGAGGAGGAAGCAGAAAAAGCTGGCGCTGGGAATGGGGGACGACACGACGGCGGTGGGCGCGGCGGCACGGCGAACGGGGCCAAGGTGGGCCAAGGTCTGGGAAAGGAAAAGTGGTCCACGCCGGGGCGGGGCAGGGGCGGCGCGGCAGTCGGGCCGGCGGAGGGGGGACCGACTCGAGCGCCGCGCGGGTAGGCAACCCAACTGCCACACGGGGCAGAGCGTGGCCTACGAGCGGACGCCGGGCGGTCCTGGGGCGCGCGGAACACGGCCCTGGGTCACAGTGGAAAATGATTGCATACTATTTTCTTAGCAACGTTCCGAATAATTTGCAAGCTATGTATGGCAAAGAATTCTTTGGTGTTGGAAATAAATTTTTAACAAGCTGTCAGATTTCATGCAAACTGTGTGTTTTGCATAGCAAAGAAATAGTCTCGAAGCATATTGCGAGAAACTAGTTCGAGTTACAATGCTTCAAAATTATCTTTGAGCTGCAAAGAAAATCGTTTGCAATGCGAAGTTATTCTTGGCAAACATTTTTCAGTGCGGGGCCGTGGCCCAGACTTAGCGCCTTTGAAAGAGAAAGAAAGGCGAAATAATGAACGTGCCGGCACATTTAGCTAGCGGTCTTCCCCTTTCAGCCGTCGTCGGAAGCTCATCACCAGGCAGCCAGCGCGGCGCCCAACAGGATTATATTAACAATTTTATTTCCTTTTTTTCTCACTTCTATTCTGCGATTTTTTTCAAGTTTCATTTCTTTTACGTCGAGAAGCGGGTGGCAATAGAGGAGAGCCGTGGGTGAGAGGGGGAGATAAAGCGAGAACGCTAGAGAGAGAGAGAGGGGGGGGGGGGAAAAAGGGGGGGAGAGAGAGAGAGATCTGGAGGAGGAAGAGGAAGGTGTCATCTTAATGAATGCAGATTTTTTTGTACTTTGTTTTAATCATCAGCAGGCAGGCACAGACTGGAGGTAGGAGACACAAACTACTTAACCACGGGCATTAATTAAGTCCTCACGACCCTCATGTGCCGCTGAAAGAAATTTCTTTTAGTTTTAAAAATTATGCACAGGATTTCAAAACTTTTTTTTTAAATGTGACTTTTTATACGTTGAAGTGAGGAATGACAGATGACATCTGTTTTTCGTCTGTTGGCTTTTGAAACATACTCAGGCTATCGTGGTTTGCTTTCGGCGGGCTAATAAAGTTTGCCGTTTGACTGTAAAAAGTGGGGAAGAACTCTGCTGTTGTTGACACCAGGATTGCTGCTGGAAAAAGTTTGTCTGTATCCTTTGTTCAAATGCATACCCCGCGCACAGTGACCCGGAAGGCAACGGAAGAGCCCCCCACTCCCTTTCCACCTCGATTTTTTTTTCTTTCGCGTCGTCCGTCGTGGATTCGTAAGCCTCGTGTTTCACACTCGCTGCGAGCCTCGTAACGGCTTTGCCAGAAAGATATAAATAAATTGTATAAATTACCCTCGATCCGTATCGCGCCTTGACGTTATCCATCCATCCCCACGTGTGAGAAACGAGCCGAGCCGCCGAGCCCATACGGCCAGCGTGCTTTCATCTCTCAGGCCCACGCTGCTGGGCTGCGACAAACCCCTAGCAGCGCCTAGCAGCGTCCCGGCGGAAAGCTCAGCACAATGAGAGCGCGCGGTGCGGGCACTGCCGCGTGTGGAGTGTGCTGCCTGCACTTGAGCTCGCAGGGCTGCGTGTCGCGGTCTGAAGGGGCTGTGGCTGTGGCTGCCGGGGTTC